CATGAAAAGTCTGAAGGGATTCCTAGAACTGTATTGCAGCTTGCAGGTATGGCTTTGATTTTCCTTTTGGCAGGCTTTTGCCATTCCCTCTTTCATTGCCCTTCCAAGAAACGCTGCTGGGTGCCTAAAGACCCGGACGCTGCCTACACTTGGCAGGAGAAGATAACAGGAATGCTACAGTGTGAGCTTTGAAAGATTAAAAGCAACATTTATTCCTTACAGTACTTTCAAACTTCCTTGAGTTAATTTAAAATCCATTTTTGAGAATGTTTAACTACTAAACTACTAATACTGGATTTATTTATTTATTTATTTATTTATTTATTCTGCACACACCATACCTGTTATTTAAACCAAATAAGAGGTGGATTAAAGTCAGTGCAATTCTTTAAAGTGCATTAACTGCTTTGAGCAGTCCTTGGAAGGGATACCCTGTGCCTCCATGACTGGTCTCTTTATGATACCTCTGTAAAAGTTCTGGCAAGGAATGACCACACTTTGAGAGCGAATTTCCATTTTTCAGGAACATTTTGCTTCTCCCTTCCCTTTTTGGTGGTAACTGACCTCATCGCTAATCGAGTACACAACAAAAGTGTCCCTTCCCTGCCTGGTGGGGCAGCTGATAAATTATTCATATGACTAATGAGGATTTTGAATTTTCAGGCAAACTGTGATGGAATTTTCAAAGGCTTGCATCACTTCTGCAGTATTTCCCTCACACCTGCACGCTTCAGGCATTCAGGTGTTGAAATTACCAAGGCAGAGTTTTGCCCCTTCTCCTCCTGCAAGTGCTTTGTTCCACAGGGCAGTCCTGTGGCTATTTTGTCTGTTTGTCTGTGTGAGGATTTTCTGTGCTAATTAACATGAGGGGAAAGGGGAATCTGAGAGGGCTGAATTAATTACCAAAAGGGATCACATACCTTGCCTTATATTAATTTTGAAATGACAAGACACAGGTGCACTTTCAGTGATGTTTCAATAAATGTTAGCCTTTAAGGTCCTTTCATATTTTTTGCCTTCTTATGGATTGATCTTACTTTAGCTGGAGCGTATCAGAAAAAATTTAAATCTCAAAGTAAGGAAGGTCCTGCAGCAAAGAGCTACATGATGTGAAAGGGCTGATTATGTTTATATTACATGCTCTCCTGTGAAAGAAACAAGCCCCCCAGCTAATAGGAGAAGAAAGGTCACTGGAACTGAAGAAACAACTGACTCAGTGTCTTAATTCTGAAGGAAATGAGCCCTTTGGAAATGAGAGGGATTTTCTGATCTACTTCAGGGGAAGGCATGCAACTATGAAAATAAGCTTTTCCTGTTATGTTGGAGAACAAAGCAACAAATCAGAAGGAGTTTTATTTTGAATCAAGGGATTCAAAATAAAAAAAGGTACATTAATTTTTTTTTTTTTTTACTTTTAAATGCTCCATAGGTAATTGGCAAAGTTTTATCATTCTCCTGGATTATCATGCACAGCATCCATAAGAAAAATTAGAGAGTGAAAGATTAACAATAAATTAAATCCTTCTTGCCAGACTTCCGCAGCTGAGCTGGAAAGAGCCTTACCATCGCTGGCCTACTTGGTGGCATTGGGTCCTGAGGTGTCCACATCTCCTTCCAAACTTATAGCACATGAACATTTGAATGTGAAGGAGGTGGTAGAACGACCACTGTGCGAAAAGCCCTGTACAGGGCAGTTGATATGTATGTATTGCACTTTGAATATGGACCTGAGCCTACGTTTGAGCCCAAACTCACCCTCAATACACACTTTGTGGAGCTTGAGCTTGCAGTGGATCTTTCTGAATATGAAAATTAGACACTTCCATCACTGCTGTTCCATATCCCGGGGAACATCCTAGATGGATTGGACCAGTTTTCCTTCCTAGGACACTTCTGTCTGTCCTGTTTGTCCTGACAGGCATGTCTCAGGAGTGCAAAATCCTTCCTACGTTTCAGTCACCACAAGGGAAAGTGTGACATATCAGCAGCATAAAGAAGGGATGTTCACAGAGCAGTGAAGATTTTTACAGCTGAGGTAAAGATGGAGAATTAAGTTTGAATATAAACAGCTAAAAATGGTCTTAAACTCACCTCATTGCCTTACTTGGGATCATAGTGGGCACAGTCTTTGTGGTCATGGACAGGGACAGGGACAGTGCACAGCCAGTCTTTATCATAGGTTGTGTTGGAGAAGGCCACAATTGCTCTTGTGGGACTACCAAAGGTTTAGAAATGCACTGAGGAATCTAAATCCACATTTAAACTGCAACAGTATCATGAAGTATGAGCAACTGTGCATCTTTACAGATTATTGGTCACCTGAAGCATATATTTGAGAACTTTGGTGCATATGTTGCATATGGACTCCTGGACAACAGTTTTGCTCTGGAAGAAACCTAATTGAGTAACTAGTTACTCCCACCATAGCAGGAGGCACAGAATACTCTTACTGCTTTGCTTACAACAAAAGTTACTGTTTTGAAAAATCAAATCACTGTGGAAGTTGATCAGAAATGCAACAGAGGATTGTTTTTAATGGCTTTTGGGGAAATATTAAGATTTATTCCTGTAAAGACTTACTCAGCATGTTGCACAAACTCCTCTTAGCGCACTAATAAGTCAGCGCACCAATAACATTAGTAAGTGTTACCGAATGCTTTGCCATTATAATTACAGCCACATGTTGTCCTTTTTACAAATAGGTCTGGCTTAATTGCATCATTTTTCAGGAGGATTTATGTGGTCCTGCTTAATCTAAAATTAGTACATGCACAAATGAAGTGCAAACTATTTTCCGTCACTGAACTGTGAAATGTTCTCCAGAATAGAGATATACCAACATGTTTCTAAAAAGATGCAATAAGCAATAAGGCAACTTTTTGATTTGTGTGTGTGTCTGCACCTATACAATTTTGCTAAAAGTAAGAAAAAATATACTAAAATATACATTAAGTGCACACTGAACAAAAATTCAGTTAAATGGTCTAAATCAAGAAGTCTTTTTTGATTATCACTGGTGAAACAAAGCTTGGGGGAAATCATAAATCTGTCTTGATATTGCTAGGTCTCAGCATTTATTAAATACAGCAAGAGCTAATGTGTTTTATATATTACGTCAATCTATCACACATAAATATATCACATTTGTAAGATGCTCTATAGGTAAGATTGTGTTGGCCTAAATTCTAAGTTACTGTGACTACTATTCCATATTACCTAAACAGCTCTGAGGATCTAAGGACATGTATAGGACATAGTAGGGATAAGAGTTTGGGTTACCTAAACCTAGGTCAGATTTAACAATTACCATACCTACCTATTGATTTGAAGTTTGGAACAGGCATGACTCTTAAGAATGTTAGAATTTAGACATCAAATACAAATGCATGACCAAATCCCAACTATATGCAAAAGCCTAATGCTGGAAGCAGATTAAATCCTCTTTCAATTTGTATCTAATAGGAAAAAGTCATTTTGACTTAATAGAGTGCAGATCTTGCCATCCAGAATGGAGATTTACTCAACTTCCATGAGGCAGTCTGCTATATTATAGTGAGTAAATCAGAAAGCAAGGAAAGGTCCCCATATTGCTGGAGCACTAATGTAGAAGTGCTGAGGCTTGTTCTAACCCCAAACATGGAAGTTTCTCAATTGCTTTTTTGGTTGATATCATCTTGAGGAAAATATGGGTAACTGCAATGTAGAAAAATGCAGTTTTTGAGAGCTACTCAGTTTTGTGTGACACATGGTTGAAGTAGAAAGTAGGAGAAAGGCTCTATTACTAAAAATATGCAAATATTAAAAATAGCCCTTGTTTAAATTTTATGTCCCTGATTTTTATGACTTTGAAGTATTTTTCCTTGTATGTGTCAATGGGCCAAAATTCCAGAGACTTGCTTAAAGCAGGATGCCTAGTACAGTTTGCTTTTAGCCATGAGACATGCTCATGTCTGTGGGTATGAATGGGTTAACACACTTACAAACAGTATCTTGCAGGTCATTGCCATTTCTCTCTGCTTCAGCATGTCACCACAGTAATTCACACTGAAACCTTAAGGCTATAGCTGCAAACGTGCTGCAAACAGAAGCTTCAGCTGAGCTGTCTCTGAAATAATGCTGATCCTGAAAGAGCAGAGGCATCCTTGCTGGTCCTTACAATCCATGAGATACCTGACTGATTCTGTGTTTGGCTTAAAGTGAGGATTATGGTGTTAATTATCCCAAAGCTAAAAGTTCTGATAAACCAATCATGCATGGCTGGATTCATAATTCCTGGCAGCCCTTTAATCTGGATAGTTGGAGATGACAACAATGATGTACCCAAAATAGGGTCGTGATTGTACTGATGTTAGAGCCAGGGTACCAAACTTGGCATTCTCCCTGCTGCCTTCTGCACATTCACAACTTCTGCTTTTCCTAAGAAAGATTATTTTGTAAGTTCAAGGTAAGTGCCCAAGGTGTAAATCGGGAGCTGAGCATTTACCTGGTACTTCCCACATAGGCTTTTATGAAAGCACTTTTATGAAAGCATTAAAGAACCATTAGTTTCACTTGATAAGAGCAAAGTGTGATGCAGGAGTAGGATGTAGGCATCAGGATCACACTTGGAAAAGTCATACACCAAGAAAGAGGCACTGAGGAATTTTAGACAACACTTTCCAAGGAGATGTGACATCCTCTGTGGATGTGGCACCACTCTCTGTGAACCAGGCTTGACATAAGTGGTGCAAAATAGATTTGGACCACTTTGGCCTCTTGTGAAGGACATACGAGTCTTGAATTGTCCTTGGAGCACAGAGCTTGAGTCTTCCAAAATAATTGTCCACTAAACAAAAGTGAGGGAAGAAGGATGCTCTGCCATCTGCTATTTAAGTTAAGAATTTATGAGTTTTATGTGATTTTTGGTTTCTGCCACAACTGAATAAGCATTTTTGGTGCTGTGTGTATGGTTTTAAACACCTTCAAGTAAGCAGCTTCTGACTCCTCTGCTTTTATTGTAGAGTATTTCTTCTCTGGAGCATGTTTCTCTCCATGCAGAGCGACCTCAGGCTGTCTGGGTGCCAGGGGAGTGATCTCCATCTGCTGAACGCTTGTCAGGTGAACTGCTGACCTACACTGATCTAACACCCTGCAACACCTGCGAGCTGCTCGACCGTGGCCACCGGGCCGCTGAGTGACACAGAGCAAGATGCACCCGCAACAGCTTGAAGGAAACTGGGTCAATTTTTTATAGACTTTAAAATGAAATATGAATAAAACTCCTTCTGAGAGCAGTAAAGCTGGAAGCAATTCCAAGCCTTCCTTGAGCAGAAAGGCTGCTCTGTTTCTTGACTCCCAGACATGAACACTGAAGCGTTATCCTGTCATCCACTGAGCACTTCAACCACTGTAAAGGAGGCACCTGGGCTCGGAAGATCAAAGCTCTGCTCAGTCTTCTCAAGTTGGATATTCTGGTATTTCTGGTGCATCTTGCATATGCAGAAACAGCAAAATTTCTCTTGGAGAACAGGCATCATCACAGAGAGGGGACAGATGGTGTTCGATAAGGAGACCGAACTACGGCTCGATCTTCCCAAAGAAAGTGGGTCCTGCAAGGTAGGAAGAAAGGTTTTAAATGAGACAGTGACACAAAAGATTGGAAATGAATGCTTTGGATATGGGATCATTCTTATGCCAAGAGGGATGAGGTGGTTTGAGGACAGCGCATTGGGCATGGAAAATTGGTGTGGGGAGAGCTGTTGCCAGAGGAGCTGGTGCAGAGATCACTGCTTTTGAAGACTTAATAACTCATTTTAAACAAAGTGCAAGTGTTGGTTTAGGTAAGTTCCATGTTTTTCACAGGCAATTTTTTTTCCCAACCCACCCTGTTAGCAGATGTCATTCTCTCAAATGAGAGTTCATAAACCTTTCAGAAAACTTCTGTTTGATTTTCAGACTTTTTTATGGTATGTTGAGATGCTTTTATTTGCCATGTAATTGTTCCTAGTGTAATTGTTCTTTGAATGAGAAAACATAATAGATTAAATGATAGCTACATTTTTGAGTTTACTGTGTTTTAGAAGATTTCGGATAATTATTTCCTTCAAATTTTGCAATTTAAATTTTTTTTAAAAGAGCAGGATCTAGGAGGAGTGTTTCCTTATCACCAATTTCTCCAGGTGGTCTGTAGTAAGACTGGGCTGAGGATGAGCTTGGAAAGGATACTTATACGTTTCAGGAACATAAAATAATCCCTAACTTCTCCAAGTCAAATTCATTATACCCTTTTTTATCTTTTCAGAGCAAGGGAAGACATCAGTTAGATTGTCACAAATAAGCCCCAACTGTTGCAAAACAGCATCTGATTTCCTAGATTAATCTGAAAGGTATGTTTTCAGATTTCAGAACCCTCTCCTTAACCTCTGTTCCACAAATAGCTTTATGCTGAGATGAAGTGTAGACAAATGCACAATAGAACTTTCTAAGTAGAACTGCTGAGGGGTGTGTGCTATATCCTCTCATAGCAACCATAGGCCACAGCTCAGCTTTGGAGGCTGACTGGAGCCTGTGCAATGGTTTCCATGGTTGCACAGGGTTTCATGTATCCAATAACATTAATATTCCAGTCCTTAATAGAATAACTTGTACAAAGGCAATTTTTTCCTCTTTATTTCCTATCTTAAATTATTGCTGCATAAATGATTGAATGAAGTTATAACATGAAAGTTGTTCTATTAAAACTTAAAATGTTGTTGAGACGGTTTTAACATGAGCTCAAGCCTCCAGTACTTATGTAAGCAAAATTTCAGGTGCCTCCTGAGTCAACACTGTAGGATTTGTCTGGTAAAATAATGATTGGTTTTTCTCTTTACCAGCTCGTTAGTACCATTTATCTTAACAAGAAGTTTGATTGCCACTAAGATGTTAAGTGTACTGTCAATGAATGGCTGACCATTTTTTGGAAGAAGATGGTGTGAGACTGAGAACTTACAGGTGGGAGCTCAGTTATGATAATGTGACTTAAATTTTAAGTCCCGTAAGTTACATTGAATCAATGAAGAATTGTTTTTTAAGGGAGTGCCTCCTTCTGTGTTTTAATACAGAGTTGGAGGTGATTATTGTCCTTGCTTTTTTTGTCACCTGAGGTTTTGAAAGGCTCACCTCTCCTGGAAGTTGTCCGCTACTTCATTTTTTATGTCCTTCTGAATAACCTCAACTGTTAATTGTGGTAGCTGTTCTGAGAAGAGCATTTCAGAACTACATCTTAGCCAAGTGTTAAAGAAAACTCCTCAACAAACATTGATGTCCTTGGCTAACTCTAATTGACTGGGACTTTCCTACAACTTAAACCCACAAGTGCTTGGGCTGTATGAATGATTCCTTTCAAAGTGCCAAAAACTTGCAGGTGCTGTCCTAGTTCTGGGACAAGCTATGGCTGAATGAGGGGTTGGATCATGGGGAAACCTTACTGTAGGTACTGTGGAACTGTCTGTTTGATTTACAGCAGAAAGAAATGTTCTGGCAGTCCTACTTGATGTTTCAAGCCTCAGTGGGTATATCCAGCCCTACTCAAGCATGGGGTGTAAGTATGTAAGTACCACAGAATAAAATATGCAGAGGTCTTAAGAGAGCTCTTCAGAAACACAACAGGGAGCTTAAAGAAATGGACCAAAGGTGTGTGACTTTGATATTTATCATGGTTAGTTGCTGCTGAGGTGTAATCAGTGTTGACTTCTGGCCTCTGCTCTATAACTGAAAGCTTGAGAGAGCACATAGAACCCTCTAAACCTCCCTGTGATTTATCTGAAGTGTTTATTATCCAGCTTACAGATGTGTATTAAAGCACTGTTTACAAAGAAGATCTCAGTGTGCAAAAAGGTAACATTCTTAGCTTTTGTAAACTGTTGTTTTCCCACTGAAGTCAACCAAGTTTCCTTGTGATATTCCCCAGCAGAGGATCTGCTCTCCAATGAGGATTCAGGGTATTGTTCTTGGCTGAGTCCATGAATATTTCTGAGTGTGCTGGAGCTGGGTTCTGAATGCATTCATTCACAGACCACTGTATAAATGATCAAAAGAGAGGCTTCTTGATCCTGTATGTAATAAATCCTCTGCTTTCAGGTTTACTGAACTGGAGACTATCATAGAAATATTTGTTCCTCACATACAGATCAGGAAGCTGGAGTCACGTATTCCTCCCCTTGGACAAATGCCTCTGGAATTCCATGAATTGCTTGGCACATCTGACAGAAAGGACAGAAGCATCTCGGCTTTTGTTTACTGTACAGTCTGCCAGCATGATCATGACTCTGAGGACATTCTTGCTGCTTTAGGTCAAATAGTGGTAGAGGAGGATGAGCATTTACCTGAAAATCTGAAAAAAATCAAGCAGAAGGAAAGGGGACTGATTGGAAAAATCAGAATTTGATTAATTTTATTTCTAAAAAGTAGAGGAGTGGTAGCTTGCTAATGTGGGGGGGGCTTGTCTGCTAGCTAGGCCTTTGTCAGAAGTATCTATGGCCAGTTTTGCACACAAACAAGTTACTATTGTGGAATTTGAACACCCTGTGGGTTTTCTCCCCTGTGGAGGGTGTATGCATCTTTTCCATTCAGAATCCAAGCTGGATGAATGGGTGCAAGCTGAACTTTTGAAGTTTCCAAGGGCTTTTCATTCATGCTGTGTCTTCCTACATTTAATTGACATACCTAATAAAAAACAAGTGCCAAAACCTGGGAAATTCATGATTGAATTGCTCTGTGCATCTCTGCTAACCTATGTATCACCCTTCTTTGTGCAGTTGTTTAAGAGGCTATCGGAGAATCATGCCCTTTTGAATGGGAAGTTTGCCAGCCACATCAGTTGGGACAAGATTATTGACTGTCTGAGGCAAAGCTTAGAAGATAATTGTTGTGTTTAACTGTTAATTCTTTAGCATTATCCCAGTAACTTGTTGATGCATTTAAGAGATGCTTGATGTCTATATATACACACACCCACGCGTGTGCACTCGCCCTCCTTTGGGAATTCCCGTGCCCTTGCTAATATGTATGCAAAAGATTCCTGGGCTTTCTTATTTGTAAACAGAAAATGTTTGGACTTATGTCCCGATAAAGGAAGATACTACAAACACAACATGAAGCTGCATTTGTCTCTGTTTCAGCTTAGAAGCTCATCAGCTCATCCTTGCGCACTTACTGCCATGGTTCAAGATGCTGAAGCTGCAGAAACACTGAAGCAAAAAATAATGTTTCATATTGCTAACCCTGTGCTACAGGGATAGTTCACCCATTTGGAGAGCTGTGCAGAAACCAAGATATCCTTCACTCGGTAGGATCTCTATGATCTGGGAATTGGTACCTGCCTCCTGACATGTCTCATGCTGGGAGACAGGTCTATGAAGTCATGGAGCCGGGCTGTCTGCAATCAGGACTGCTGTACTACATCCAAAGCAAGCTTGCCAGTCAGCAAACGCTGCATTAATCTTTCAGGGAGTGTTTGTTTTGCTTGTTTTGCTAGGCTGAGTTTCAAGCAACTGATAATGTGTTCATGAGCAGTTCTCCTGTTGCAGCCCATTTAAAAAAAAAAAAATAAAAATTTGAAGACCGAAGCTCCCAAGGTTGGGTGGAATATGGGTTTGAAGGCTTATATGTGATCTTGCTTCAGTGTGTGAGCTCAAGATGCTTTTGAATGCATGTAATATGCCTGTGCAGGTACATTTGGGACAGTGGAGTTGTGGCTCTTTGAAGGCTGATTTTTAAAAATATACCTTGGATGTGGTCCTTCTCTTTTGGAACTAATTCTGCTCGTGGAGTTACCTCACTGCAAACGAGATGTACTTTAGTTTGCTTAGCAATAGTCAAACCTTCAGATTGCTGAAGTATAAATGCTGAAGACCTCTGACAAAGAAGTGTTTGAAGACACTTTATTGTTCACAAGTTTTTAAGTATTGAAATATCTGAAATTTTGGGAGGTAAATGACAGTGGGTCTGGCTTGTTCTCACGTGTACCTGCAGTGTTGCTGCTCTATCCAACTGCATCACTGAAGTTACAGTTCTCACACACTGTTAAAAGCCCATTCTTCAAAGTACTTTTACATTTAGCTCCTCTAAGCAAAACGGTATTTAGATACCCAAATAACTAGGATGCGAAAAACTCAAATGTAATTCTGGAGACTTGCAGTGTAGAACCTGTAAATATGAGGCATTTTTCTGGACTTTGCTGGCTTTTATTTTAAGAAACTCTGCACTCTTTGATGACTTGCAAAATAAAATCTAGCAACATTTCCACCAGTGAAGAGAATTTCAACATCCAGAGTGAGAACAGAAAGATACACTGTGATCTCGAGGTCCTTTAGCCTGCTTATGTGCTCTGAAAGAATGTTACTGGGCAGCCAGTCTGTTACAAAATTATGATTTTTATGGTGTTGGGATAACACACATCCACTGGATATTTCATGTGCACGTACATCTCCTGGAAACTTTTGCTGAGAAGAAATTCTTTTTTAAAATCTGTTCTACTAAGAGTACTCCAAAGGTGATACTACACACAGCAGTATTTCTTGTAAGTGTATTTTAGATGACAGCATCTCTGTTCTGCTTAGATTTGAGGTGGGGATGTACTTGGAAAAGTTGGGAGAGTTGGGAGAGAATGGCAATAGTTCAGTAGTTCAGTACTTACTGTTACTCTAATCTAGTACCTTTTCCTACTCACAATATAGGTGATTAAGGAAAAAAAAAAGATATCTGTTTTTAAATTCATCAGTTTGAGGGTTGTTTGCACACATTTTTTTGTTTCTTTCTGGTTTTGAATTATGTTTCTACTCCAAAGATCAAATTTCCTGGTTAACATATTGGTCTGGAAGGACACAAGGCTCATGCAGACCTGGCACACAGCAGGCAGGCTGGCTGCATGGAGAAAACTGTCACTCTTACTCACCTGCTACCATGACAATTCCCTTGATACAGGAAATTGTTGTGCTATTTGACCCAAAATTTATTGGTGTGGTGACAGGATAGTTCCTCCAGGATCAAATAAACATTATAAAACCTCCTTTCCCCAAATCAACCTCTTAAATTAGATACAAGAAGGTTGGCACCTTGTATTTTGCTGTGTAGCTGTTTGTGAAGAGCAATGTAAATCCTTATCATCAGTCTGCAGTTGTTATACACAGGTGTATATATACTGTAGAATGCCCATGCTCTGTTATGTAGAATACACAGGACAGGGGGAAAGGACCTGAAGTTGTGCCAGGGAAGGTTCAGATTGGATATATTAGGAAAAATTTCTTCACTGAAAGAGTGGTCAAGCATTGAAATAGGCTCCCCAAGGAAGTGGTGGAGTCACCGTCCCTGGAAGTGTTTAAAAAATGAGATGAGACACTTTGTGATATGGTGTAGTGGGTGTGAGGATACTTGTTTGAAGGTTGGACTTGATGATCTTGGAGGTCCTTTCCAACCTCAATGATTCTATGATATGCTACAGGCTGCTGACAATAACCTGAATCCTGTCCGGCTCCTGGTGATCCATCCCCAACACAGAAGGATCACAGTGTGGGGTATGTTGTGTCAGATGTGAGCTGAACTAGGGGATGCAATGCAATGTCTACAGAGTACAAGTATTATTTCTCTTGTAAAACTTATCCCTCGTAATCTTCCTAAGCAAGGTTTGATTCTTCTGCATGTATCCTAGAAAAATTAATGGAAATTCTTCTGGAAAAAAACCCCATAATATTTTCACATCTTTTGGAATTTCTGCAGTGAAACTCTTCAGACTTCAGGCTGGTTACTAAGAACAGCCCAATGTATATTTGAGGGTGAAAAAATAATAATGTCACTTCTTTGGAACATGATCTAAAGTTCACTGAAGTGAACGAAAAGGCTCCTGTTGGTTTAAGTGGATCCAGCCTTTACACAGTGAACAGAAGACGTGTGTCTCTTCTGCTTAAATCTGAAAATGTTATTGGTAATTTGTGTTGATAGAAAGAGCACATGGTAACTTCCTTTCTGCATTTATATAACAGGAGGCAAAAGCCTCAAGTTTGAAAACATTGAGGATGCAGTTGCCTATTTCCAGCATGATGAGAGACAAAACCAAGGATTGACTTTCAGAATATTTGATGGTAGGCAAAGCGTTAGATGCTGGTTTCCTGTTAGGTAAAGGATTTCTGTTGCCATCCCAACAACAAATGATGACCTGGCGCTCGTGATGAGCAGTGTCAACTTAAAGTTTGCAAAAGACAAGATAGTTCTTTCTGAAACACCTATGTTAACGTTTTATTTATGGGGTTTTTTCAAGTGGTTATTATAGTCTCAGAGCCCCTGGTGGTCTAGGGGGTAAAGGCGCCGCGCTGTCACCGCGGAGACCCGGGTTCGATTCCCGGTCAGGGCCACTCCCGGGCAGGTGGGGCTCGTTAGCCCTTAAAGGCAACCCACCTACGTCCTGAGGACCTCGCTGCCACCGTCCAAGCTCGCTTGGCCCCGGCAGATGAACCTTAGGATTAAAGGGTGGGCTCAGTTCCGCGCACACTGTGTCTCACCTAAAAAATCCAATGCGCAGGCTGGAAGGTGTAAAGACCTTCCCCGGATCTTCGCTCGCGAAGACTGGCCATTATATTATTATTATAGTCTCACTAAAACCACCGAGCCAATGAGTGCTAGTGGGATTATCAAGGAATCCATTGTAGATGGGCCAAGCAGGTATGGCAGCCTGGGGAGGTTGACAGTCCCTGGTACAGCTCAATAATGGAGTGACTAGTGGTAGCCTTGGCAGTGCTGAGTTCATGGCTGGACTTGATGATCTTAAAGACCTTTTCCAACTTAAACAATTCCATGATTCTATGACAAATGTTTGGGAGTCAGGGGTAGGTTGTCTACACAGCTGACAATGCATAACTGCTATTGCTCCCCTGGTGTGATGAACAGGGTTCCCCCTTGGGCTGGAATTAATAAAGGAGTAATAAGAGAAAAGAAAAACAGCAAATGGCTACTAAAATGATCTGTGATGGACTTTGTATTTTTAAGATAGCTCTGTGTCAATGTGTTTGCAAAGGGATCAGTTCTACAGCCTTGTCTACAACTGACATTTTGGAGAAGAGATTCTTCAGCACTCATTTAAATTCATTTTATCTGATAGTCAAGAGCCTCCTAATTTTTGATGCTCAAATAAGTATGGCTTTTTTTTTTTTTTAAATGACATAGCATTCATAATATTGTGAAAGCCATGCACATTATTGCATAATAGGAAATTGTGCAGGAATGAGATGGCTGGAGCTGCTCATCTCTAATAACATGATGTTTCTTATGCCCAGTTCCTGTTTTACATGAATGAGTTGACTAAAATTAACAGAGTTGCTCTGGATTTTTACCAGTATTAAAATAGGTGAAATCAAAAGCAGAAAGACCAAATGACTTTTTATTTTTCTTCATTTCTTTAGGTGTGCTGTTTGAATTTGCTTCTTTGCAACACTTAAACAAAAATAGAAAATGAACAGAAATATCAAGACACTGGAAAAAACAACATTGAAATAGAATTTTTATGAACTGCTGAGCTGAGAGCTGAGCTGGTACCAGCAGAGTGGGATCAGTCAGTGGTCAGATACCATATGCTGGATTTCCATATTTTTCAGCCATCTTTAAGACTGATTCCTTGTGTTACATGAGCAAGAGGGAGCCTGGAACTACACAACCTGTTGTTAAAGAAACCTACACCATCACCAGGCATCAGCTCCACTCTCCAGAGGCCCAGTCTCCAGACAATCAACTCGTGTGCTGTTAGTGCTTTGTTTCTCTCACTTCTCCTGTGTACATATGAAACTGTCGAGCTGAATTACACTTTATAAGGTGATAGGGAAAAGATGTAACATTTATTTTTCCCTTTGACTAATTTTTACAGTGTGGGGAAGCTAATTTTTGCAGGCTAAAAACCAACAAAGCAAAACAAGTCCTGCTATTCTTGACATCTTTCAGGTAAACAAGAAAAGAATTTGACATCATTTGCAATTATTATCACTTTTTAAAAGCTCTGCTTTTATAATCAGATGAGGCATGACAACAAATGATGCTTATTGAAATCTAAATTTTTACATTAAATACACCAAATGAGCACAAAAGTAGAATTTTAAGCCTAGATGGAAATCTGGTATCACCTTCCAAATCCCATTTCCCACTGTTTTAAGGGGGAGTTGAACATTGTGCAGCCTCACTGTAGAGAACAATCGTTCCCTATTAGTGCAGATATTTGACATCTTCTCTATGAATCTTGAAAAGAGGGCCCAAATCAGTGATTTTTCTTGGTGTTTCACTGAAATTTGTCTTGTGTGGACACCACTACTTTCCAGCCATGTAAGCTTTTTTGATACTGGACAATGGATTTCAAAGACCTGCTCAAGCTCCTGAATGTGTGCTCCCTATGGCAGACAGAGTGTACTCATTTCTGACTCTTCAGATAAGAGATTTGCAATTTCTATGCCAAACCAGTCAAACCCCACATCTTATTTCATTCACTAGAAAATTAAAATTGTGCACTATACACAACACCGATGTTTCTGTTCCCTGCCAGCACTTTGATCCATCTGACGGGAAAGTTCCCTCTATGGAGTGTTTTCTACCTTGGTGAGTTCTTCCCATGACATTGATAAAAAAATCCAGATTTGTTGATTCTGTTGTTGTATTATTTACTCTGCAGCTAGTTCCACACATTTATTGCCTGACTTCTTCCTATAGTTTTAAATGTTCTTGAATTGTACCATTTAGTAAGCTCCTGCTAGAGTCAGAGCATAAAGCTTGTTCAAAGTGCTTGCATTCCTTGAAAAGAGCCAGGCAAGCATTTTCTCCACAAATGAGAATTATTCATAAAATTTATTCCACCCGGGGTTTGTATGTGTGCATGCATTCTTTGTTAAGCGTTTTAACAAATATTAAAATCCCAGGTAGGTTAAGGGGATCAGCAAAATTCCTGCCAGTATTAAATGAATATTTGTGCAGGGTGGATTTTGAGTGTGCTGTGTAAAGCTTATAATGCTTAAGACTATATTCTTCTGCTAAATGGTTAAACTCTGCCCTAAGAACAATTTGTCCAGAACAGTAGGAGAGCAGAAAAGAAGTGAGTTATTTGTAGTGAAGAACATACAACCATAGGGAAGGATTATTTGGGAAATTATAACAGGCAGTTGAAGTCTTGGAAGCATTCAAGAGACTTCACTACTTCCAATAGCAAATTGTTTATGGAGAGAAATAAAGCTAAACCTATCCAATTTTTTTCAAGTAGCTCCGGTAACTTGTAAGATTTGTGTCAGACTCCAAGTAGAAAATTATCACCAATTATATTCCAAAGAATAGCAATAAAAGCTTGTAAGAGGAAAGCAATGCTGAAGCTTCCTCAGTCAGCTCAGTAGCTTTAATTGCTATGCTTTTTTTTTTTGAAGGATATTTTTAAAACTCCGAGCCCATTTTCTTTTCTGTAGTAATATTGCAACCCATCTACAGTGTTTTCTTTTTGTTTTGTCTTGTTCTTGTCTTTCTCAAAATCACACTTTAGCTGTGTGCCTCTGGCTATTAACCCTGTGGATTTCTTTCAGATATGAGAAAGCTTGATTCCATGAACCTCAAAAACCACCGCAGTGAGATAACACCCCACTTTCCTCTTGTTTTAATGTCAAAGGGGAAAGCACCTCTGTCTTCTTATATTGTTGAGAAGGCACAGCAGTTTCACTTCTCACTCAGCAGCCTTGGACAGACAGATAGCCTCATCCTTCTTCTATTTTTTTGTCCATCTTTCAAACTAGGAGGCAGGAATTTCTCCTAAGAAAGAGAGAATGTTCTTCATAAGCTTATGACCCATGGACAGCTTGTGGTTTCCTAAGGACCCTGCACTATCCTCTTTATCCCATAGAGGATACTGGATGTAGGAGCATAAAACCTTCCTGGGGCGGGCAGATTAAAAAGTTTTTCATCCCCACTGGAGTTAGAGGCCAAAGGAGATTAACTAAACTGCCCATTATCTGCTTGCAATTTTACTCAATGCAATGGGCTGTGTTTTACCATCAATATGACGTGAAGAAATATGTCATTAAGCTGGTTTTTTACTCACTGCTTTGAATGTGGTGGCAGGACAAAAAACATCTCACCTGGTAGTTTATGTGTTCTTTCATCCAATTTCAGTCTTGCAAGTTGGAACTCCACAGCCTTTTAAGCACGAGCTTTCATCAGAGGACTGGAAATGGTTACTTGTGCCACTTAGATTCCAAGCAGTCCTGTTAAACTCTAAAATAGGGACTGGTAGAGTCCTCGGATCAGCTGATATGCGTGTCAAGCTTTGAAATCTGCAGGGGTAGGAAGATTCCTTCTATTCCAAAAGCACAGACACACCTGCTGAGCATCAGAGGACCTCCTCCAGGCCCAATGTGCAGGCAGGTTTGCAGGTGGAAGGGTTAAATCCTGGTAAGGTCCCTCTGGATGCAGCAAAATAAATCACTCCTTCATGTTTCCATGAGGATCTGAAGGTTTTTTCTAGGTAATAAACTTCCTCTGTCCAGTTTCATTGATCTGCATGGACTTGCCAAGGTGAAGAATCTTTGTTTACAGGCTTTTAAAATCAGTTAATTTATTTGGGTCCTTTATTTAAAATTCTCTGCAGATGATTATTACCCAGAGCTTCAAAAATAGACCCACTGCTATGGGATTTGCAGGGAAAAGTGAAGCCTATATCTTATCCATAACTGTGTAATGGTGTCTGAAAATTTATATTTTAAAAAAACTGTTTTAAAAAGGAGCCTCGTGATTTTGTGAGGTTGGATCCTAATAGGGCAGAGGGAATGAGGTGGAGGGGAGCAGAGTTCAGGGGGACTTTGGCATAAGCTTTCCCTTCTGTTACCTGCAGGCACATTTAAACCTGCTGTTGCTGTATTAAAGAGGGGGTTCTTTAACATCTATGTTTAAAAGTGTGATCTATTTATTCAGATAATATATCTGAGTGTTTAGATATAGCACCCTATGCTTTAAATCCTTCTCAAGGTAGAAATGACTGCAGCTTGCAACAACCCATGTAATGACACCATTACTCCTCGTACAGGTGAGGAATTCCCAGGGTTTGGTGTCCTGCTCCACCAGAAGCTTTGGCCATGGTGCACAGTCTAGGCTTGTGCTGTCTCCATACCCTGATGTGGATGCCAGTCAGGAAACCCTTTCTTTTGCCCACCTCCATCTGGCAGAGTAAAGCTGAGGGACCAGGTCCCCATGGTAGGTGTTAGTGAAACACCAGAGAAACCAGTGGAACTGCTGGTGCTAAATCCAGAGCCCACAGCAATATTTCAAGTGGGAGCAGCCAACATGATCAATTGAGACAGTGGGCAATGCAGGACCTCAGCTCTTCCCTTGCTCCCCTCCCCTCATATTTATAGGTTTCTAATTTCCGCTGGATAATGAATATCACTCTTCATTATAATTATGTTAAAAGGTACCAGCACGATGATTCAGAAACCCTTGAAGATATAGTCATATTTTCAGCAACAGATGGATTTAACACTGCAGATGGAGTGTTAAGAGTGCAGGTAATAACAAACTCAGCAATGTACTGTACTGAAATATAATTGGAAAGTATTAATCATATATTGGTTACTTCAGCTTCACTAAGTAGATGTTTAATTTTCATCAATCTTTTTACCAGATTCCCGGAAAGATTTCTGTGTAGACAGAGTGTGGCTTCTAGGTGAAACGATTGCCCAAATTATTAATGACCAAGGCTTTGATCTTGCAGGCATGTGCCCATGGCTTACCCAGGCATGCAGAATAAAAATCATTTGTGTTAATAAGGCTGTCAGAGGGGGCCCCATTCATATGGCCCAAGCTTCAGCTGGTGACTAGTCAGTAGTAAAACCCAGATCCTTCTCTACTTGGAGGTTGCTGGAAACCTGCCAGCAGGAATGGCTGGCTGCAGGATTTGGGGCAGAACGCAGCAATTTGAAAAGCCCCACTCATAGAAGTGAACCATCAGCCTAAGCCTTTGGGGGACTGGGAGTTAGAATGTAGATAAAACAAGGGGGGTTTTGCCATTCTTTATTATTTTCTCTAAGTACAGTCCTTTTGGAAATATCTGCATCCAGAGAAATGTCTGCTCTATTCCCATAAACCCTGTCATCTTGCTGGTTTTTTAATATGCCTCTTTCTAGAGGTTGTATTGGAAGCCTGGGTTATTCAGGGGAGGGTTTGCTCTGAGCAGAATATGCAGGATCAGGGTAATCAGTGGTGCCTGGTTGCATACCATGACTCTAATTCTTTAATTAATGCTATTTATAACTAGGATATCATTTGTAGGATCAGGAAGTGGTCCATGCTCCAATGTGCCACCTGGGGACACGGGGAACAGGGACTGTGGTAGGGCACAGTTCCAGGTCATGCAAAAATCTATTTCACAGCAGGAATATGAAGTGTAATTTTTGGTGATAAAGGAAACATTACTCTTTTGAATGTATTTCTGTGGATGGTTTGTGTTCACATTCTTCTCTGTGGGCTCAGGCAGCTGGTGAAGCTGCATCTCCATTGATTTCATTACAAGCCTTCCTTTTCCTGGTGGGAGTCCATAGCCATGGTATTCCATGATGACTATGCACTGATCAGACTTGTAAACAACAACATAAACATTCAACACCTAAATTTCAAGTCCAATGAAATGCTTTGGCTGAATGCTTTGGTCTTTTCCTGAACTATTTCATTTTCTAGCTATCTGTGAACCTTGAAAATGTAATGAAAAACTGGAATTGTCTCTGGAAAGTTGACTATCACTTGATGGCACAATATCTTTATCTTGGCTGTTGATAAAAAAGGATCTGATAATAAAATCCAACGTGACTGAAAATAAAATTGATCATGACTAGAAACCACAGGTGAACATGTTTAATAATGCAAAATTAGTGTGCTGTCTACTTTCTGACACGCATTTTTACACCAGGGAGATACAAACAGGTACTGATCAATTGACCATGATAATCAAATAAAGGTCTGTGAGTATAAATTACACTAAATATGGTGTCTCTTTAGGGGTACCAGTCGAGAGGACTTGTTTCTAACACAGGTCCCTCATGTCCATACTGTTAGGATAGACTTCATCTGACTGGCAATGTTTGAACCCTCATTCTCTCTTTTTTCCCCCTCCTTACTTATGAGAATTTATTGAATCAAAAATTTTTTACGTTGTCAGGTGCCTTTGTTTTGATGTAAATAGTGCGTTTTAAAACTTGTTCTGCATTTGCAGCACAGAGGTTGTTCTGCTTCGGAGAGGTTCCGTCTTAGCTTTCACCAGCAGGACAGGACATTTGGTACTCATCTGTGAGAAACAGGTGGGTAAAGCACTGCATATACATTTAATAATGTAATTTAATACAAATTAAGAAGCTGTCTAGATCTGTAGAGAGGATGCTGGGAGGCAATAGATTCCTTTTAATAAATCATCTTATACTTTGCTCGAAAAGGCTTACATTCCAACTCAACCAAATAGCATTGAGCAAAGGGATGTGACTTAAATAACTGGGACTTGTGAAAGCTGCAGAGTCTCTGTTGCCTCCCCATTGTCATGAGGATTTCTACCTGTCCCTGTTTGCCCTGCATCATCTCACGGATATGCTGCTTGATCTTTCCAATTACTGTGATGATGTTTTTAATTTGTGATTCATGATGAAGTGTTTTGGATGAAAATTGTAATTCAAGTAAAATCACGAACCACATGCTTTATGAAGGCATTTTATTTGCCAGTTTATTTGCTGTGTGAAGTTTGCTTCAGATGTATCAGAAAATAAAGGTACATAAAATCCTGTACTTCAAAACTTGATAAATTATTGACAAAGGAAAAATGCCCTGAGTTGATCAATCTGATGTTTCTTCACCATTTGTCCCTTGAGGATTTAGATGTAGTGGATTGTGCTTTAATGCTGGTCTGCTCTCATCATTTGCAAGAGAGAAAACAAACATTCCTGCATCTCAGCTCCTTGTCAGTGTCTGAACTTGAATGAATCAGCTATTGAGCTAAAGGAAATGAAATATAAATTGACATGAAGAAAATGTTCTCCCTGCAGCTGCAGAAGCAGCTATGGTTTTCAAAAGCTGATTTTTATCCCTTCAAAGACCAGTATTTTCGGTCACATCATCCTATTCAATAGCTGACCTTTCTATAAAAGTCTGGCCTAAAGGTACTGCTTTAATACTAGTTTTAAAAATTTATTAAAATAAGTTGAGTGAAATATTGTGTTAATTTCAGTTGTCACTTTTGGCACCCATTTAGAAAGGAAAATCAGAATACAAACCACTCTTTTTAAATGTTGCTCCTGTTTCTTCCTCGTTCATTACCACAAACACAGCATTTAGTAGTCTCGGAGAGTAATTTAAAAACATAATGAGTATTTTTTTATTCTGTGACTTATAATTCAGTAGCTTGTGTTGCAGAAATGCTCCTGTCTGGGGGTCAGGTGGTTGCATTTTCTCACCTTGGTTTTGTTGGGCTGGAACACACACAGCTGTGCAATGACATAACACTGTAACTTACTGCCCAGATATCCTAATCAAATACTAAATAATCTGCTTTGGGAAGTGATTTCAAACCATTTAGATTTCTGATCCTGCACCCTAGACCCCTTTACTGCACTGAATTACCTGGAATAAATTCCTTCAGTGCAGGTTGCCCAATTATCCTTCTGTCTTATGCGGTGCCATTTTTTCAAATGTTATATTTTTTTGGGCAATTTCTTTGCTATGCAACTTTCCTGACTTGACTTTATGGTAAAATACACAGGGGAACACGGCACAGTCTCTCCCTGCTTCTCTTCTCATGCATGCTTGGAGAAATGAAAACGCATTAGAAGACAATCATCTTGTAAAATGCATTCATTATACAGAGGAGATAAAAAGAAACAACTTGTTTGTTGGTATTTTGGAGATGTCTCCATGCCATACCTGTTATCATTCAGTTGTCAATCACAGCAACTACTCTGCTGTAGCACAGATTTCAAACTTATTATCAAACTTAGATCATTGCTAGGTCTTCTGTAAGTTCATGTCTCCTAACTGCTCTTCAATAATATATATCTACCTTGAGATCAGCTGCATCAAGCACTCGTGGGAGTTGGGTCTTTCCCTCTTGGATCCTCTAAAATCTACTCTGTAAGACCCCTTTGATTTTCTTAGAGCTCTATATTAATATTTTCCTAAAAATGTAGTTTATTCGGGCCATGACAAAAAGTCACTTTGGTACAGCACTGAGACATCCTCAATTTACAGGACTGAATCCTCCATGCAAACATCTTTCCTTACATAACTGATATTTCTTATTTTAATACAGTGCATTTTTAAATCTGAACTTTGAAGCTGATCCCTCTCTAATGCTTGGTGGCTCTCCCTAACTAAACAGAAGCCTTTTATTATTTTTAAAGGATTTGTACACTGTCAGAGGAACAGATGTATCATGCACCTGTAGTCTCTCTCCACTGGGAACCATTTTTACTGTTACTGTTTAGAACTGTTCAGAAAAATTTTTGAACCAACTTTGTGATGAAAGAATAGACTTTTATGTAAAAAAGCTTGAGCAAAAAGCATCTGCTTTGTATGTCTAGTTTGGGTTTGTTTTTTTTTTTTTTCTAGAACTAAAAATTGATGTATGTCTTTTGACTTGAGAATTTCTGTTCAAAATACCAACATAGCGTGGAAAAGGGAGATGGAGAAGATTTATCTGAGGACTTGTCAAAATTCTGTCCAGACATGGTGATGACAACTTCTGTGTTTTAGCTACTTATCATAATTTGTTGATGTTTTAGATACTCTTGTTTGATATTTGTGTTCATATGGCTGAAGTAAATGGCTTATTTGGGGTTTATTCCATATTTTACCATGGGCTTTAATTTTCCAAGACATTGGCCAGTGTTTTTCTGCTTTATTTTAGGAACTGGTGGATGAGGATAATGGGGTGGGGTAAGCAAGGCAATTTGGAGACCCTTTAGCCTTAACTCTGAGGTGCTTAGTGCTCATATCTCTAATCAGTCATGAATTTCCAGCATGAATTAAGTGCTACCCATTGCAGAGCACTGGGCAGGCATTATTTGGACATAGAATCATGGAATAGTTTGGGTTGGGGGTAAATAAAACCTAAACTATTTAGGCTAATAGGCAATATTGGCACCAAATCAAACAGATTGAAATCACCAATGGAAAATTCAGACCAGCAATTAAAGGACTGGTTTCCATCCAGTAGAGGAAAAGTATTGCAAGTAGCTCTCAAACAGAGGCCAGAAACTTCAAAATTGGAATACAGTCTGTTAAAGAGGCTTTATGCCCTGAATGTTGATGACTGAAGGGTACCAAAGGGGACAGTTAGATTTCTGTGTGGTCCCTTCAAAACCTTGGCTGTGATTATCCCTCCAACATCCAATGAACACCCTCCCCCCAACACAATAGTTTCCAACCCTATTTCCAGCTCTCATATCAGTTTGTGTGTTCCATCTGAGTGTGATTTCTGGACTGGTGCTCTCTGCTCCTCCCTAGGCCATGGTTCTCGTGCAGACTCCTTTGCTCTGTCTCTGACACAGGGACGAGTGCTGTGGCAGTTTTGATGAAGCTCTTCCTCCACCTCTAACACCTCCTACTGCTCTCCCAGTTCATAACCTGATTGCTGCATCCCCGCTTGTAGATAACCATTGGCCCAAGACTCATATGAGTACCTTCTGTAACATGATTTTACTTTCATATTTAACCTAAATAACCACCTGCATTATAATTTTTCAGTCTGTATTTAAGCATGAACTGTTTTGGGTCAGACTGCAGTGACAGGACTTATCTTGAAGAGAATCAAAATCGTGCTGTTTCCCCAGTTGTAAGACCCATCATTTAGCAGGCATAGACTGTCACACTCACCAAGTGGGTTGCATGGGAGCCAGCAGCAACACTCGGCTGCTCTGGAGATGAGTCATGTTATTTTCAAACTATTTGGCTAATCAGTAAATTGAGATCTGCTGCTTTACAGACAATATATAATATTTGCTTTGCCTTTGTGCACTACTTTACATTTTGGATCCTTTGCCATTAGGATTCGAAGCATATAGACTTCATCTAATCCAATTTATCCTGTTCATCTTGGCAGTGCTTGCAATGCTGACAGCTTAAAGAAAACACTTAATTTGACTAAGTGTTTTCAGTTTGCTTCTCAAAATATTTGAAATCATTAAAGCCAGAGTACCCCTGCACTGCAATATACACAGTCCTGACCCACTTGAGCAAGTTAATTACAATTTGTGTGATCCTACGGCCTCTGATTATGCTGCAGGCTGAAGTAGTTTACCTGGTTAAGAAAGGGCTCGATGTTTTTTTCTCCCGGTTTGCTGCTTTTTAATCTGACTTTTAAAGAGGCTCTTAGAGCAAAAATGAGTCATAGGGGGGACTTGGTAAGACCTGTCGTCTCTCCTGCCTCGATGGGCAGGGCAGAGGGGGCTGAGTGCTGAGCTCCCCATGCAGATGCTCTCCTGCTGTAAGGCTGTTCAAGCCCCTGTATCCATAGCTATTTGTATTCATTGCTCCCTACCAGAGGTGAGGCAGAGCACAGGGATGTAGAGCAGCCCTGGAAGTGCCCTGATGAGCACAGGTGATTATGAACAGTGGTTCAGCAGCACTGGAGCGTGCCAGTGCTGATGGGGTCATGGGCTGCGTCCCCTTCCTCTGCACTGTGCGCTGAAGGCTGAGAGCTTGTCACAAACCCCTCTGTGATGGCATCTCAGCCTTCCCCTGCTGCAACCCAACAGGAAGAAATGTCATCTAGGCTTGCTGTCAGTGCCAAACACAGATCCCAGGGACTAAGCACGATGGAAGAGAAGGGAGAGGGCACACATGAGGATAGAGCTGGATCAAAAGGATTTATCAGTGCAAACAGTAATGTGTCATACTAGTGTGAGTCAAGTGAGGTTGCAAATGACAACATAGATAACATCGAGGCAGCAGAAGCATCAATACATGCTAATAAGCAGAAAATATATTCTGAGCTCCTCAGTGCTCTCACACCTTGGCCAGCTCATCCACTGTGTCTTTGCCAGTGCAGGTTACAACAGCTCAGCTGCTGCACCTGAAGTTTTGGGAGACTTCAATAAACTCCCAACAGTCTGTGTGTCTTCCAATCTGGTTTGTCATTTGGATTTGTATTTACAGCAGTTAATGATTCAAAAATTATGAAAAAGTTATCCCAATTTCTTACAAAGGTTACATTTTAAAAATCCTGTTATGATTGGCTGATTTTACTGCTGGAGGGGACCAGGTGATTCAATATTGTGGTTTGGTAGCACTGGAGCATCTGTCTGAGATGATGAGGCAG